GAGAAGGCTTTATTTCCTACTATAGAAATTCACTACAGTATGAAGCTTCCTCCTTTCTCGAGTACTACTTACTAATGTCATATATATAAAACAAGTAGGAAATGCTGAACTGGATTTTATTTTTTTCCTAAACATTTTTTTTTTCTTACTATGCAATTCTGTTTTTATTTTTTTTTCCGGATTTTATTTATTTGATAGAGAGATCACAAGTAGGCAGAGAGGCAAGCAGAGAGAGAGGGAAGCAGGTTCCCTGGTGAGCGGAGAGCCCAATGAGGGACTTGATCCCAGGACCCTGAGATCATGACCTGAGCCGAAGGCAGAGGCTTAACCACTGAGCCACCCAGGCGCCCCTCTGTTTTTATTTCTTAAACATTTTCCAAGCTTTTTGACTCAGTTTCTTCAGGTGAGAATAACTTTTAAAATATCTGTTTTGTGATGTTACCTATGTTAAGTAGGGAACACATTTTTGCTCTGCAAATAATTTGCAATCTATTAAGAACTTAAGAAAATTATATACTTCAGAACAACACAAAGTTGAAAATAATGACTGCCATAGCAGCAATGGGCATAACAATATTAAATCTTCTGTTAGGAAGAATAGAACCCTTAAATCCGGACTATGTCAGTCTGAAGTAATTTTACATTTTCTGTTGGGCTATCAACAACAGATAAGAACCTCTATAGTTCCTTAGATCATCCATCCAAAATAGACATTGTACAGTAAGAGATTAATTTATGATGCAACTTATATGAGGTAAGTACCTCATCTGACCACAGAATAGTCAAATTCATAGAGATAGAAAGCAGAATGGTGGTTGTTAGAGGCTGAGGAGAGGAAAGAAGGGGAAGTATTATTTAAAAAATATAGAATCTCAGTTTTACAAGATGAAGGGTTTTGGAGATGGATGGTAATGAAGGTTGTGACAACACTAAAAATGCATTTAATACCACTAACTGTATATTGAAAAAAAATGATTACGGTTGTAAATTTTGGTACAAATATTTTACAATAAAAATTCAGAAAAAAAAGTATAGGATTGTATTGTATTCAGTACTAGAGAAACAAGATTAATAAACTCACAGTCTGATACAGAAAAAAAGATGTAATCAAATAACAGCAGGGTCTACTAGGTTCTGTATGCAGTCTGTAGAAAGTGCTAAGGTAGCATGCATGCAGACATAAGGGTCTGACTAGCAGTGTCCACTAGGATTGAAAATTGGGATGGGTAGGAAGGGAGGTAGTAGTATCTTCAAAAGTTGTAGACAAGAGTTGATATTTGAGCTGTCCTTAAAAAGTGAATAAGAGTTGGAAAGATAACAGAGAAGGTTTCTAAGCAGAAGCACAGAGGTATTAGAGGTATCAAACATCTGTAAATTGAACAAAGCTGTTTGGCTGACGTACAGGACCAGTGGGGGACAGTGGTAGGAGATGATGTTAGTGACACATGTGGGTTTTAAAAATACATATGGCCAGATTTATTACTGAAGATTTATTTTTAAGACATGTTAACATTCAGGGCTTCCTGGGTGGCTCAGTCAGTTGAACATCTGACTCTTGGTTTTGGCTTAGGTTATGAGCTCAGGGTCATGGGATTGAGCCCCATGTAAGGCTCCATGTTCAACAGGGAGTGTGCTTGAGATTCTCTCCCCCTTTCTCTGTCCCTCCCCTCCACTCGCATGTTCTCTGTCTCTCTCTGTCTTTCCAAAATAAATAAATAAATCTCTTAAAAAAAAAAAAAGACATGTTAAAGTTTACTAGCTCTGATGGCAGTATGATATAGGATATGGAGCGGGTTGGACCTAAAAGTAAAAAGACAAGATAGCCAATGACAGTCCAGATGAAGACAGTGGCAATAAAGGGTAAGAATAGATTTGAGAGGCACTCAGAAAGTCAAAATTACTGGGCTTGGTAGTCAATGAGATATGATGTGTAAAAGAGGGAAATCAAAAATACTGCTCAGATTTCTATATCAGAAAATGGGAAGAGGGTGGATCCCTAAACTGGTAAATGCTGGCATAAATGCAATGTTTGGCAGATTGTCAAAGAGGGGGTGCTCAATAGATGTTTGTGGAGTGAATAAAAACCCCCTGATGATAATGATCATAGGACTGAGGATGGGGGAAAAAAAGAGTGCGTAAGGATTGATTCCGTTGGTTTTTGACAGACCTAGATGTGCTGGGAAATGGAAGGGGTAAGCTCTGAAGAAGATAGGCAAAGCAGGGGGTGATATCAAAGCAAAACCCCACAAAGTTTAGGAGTTAAGGCTGGGCTCTAGAAACCATGACTGGATCAGGTTGCCTCTATGTTAGTGAGAAGAATAAAAGTATAGTGGTTCTATGATGTGGTATTCTGAAAGTCAGGCTAAAGAAGTTTTAACTAATTCAGTAGTGATGGTAAGTCATGGCTTTGGGGGAGGGGTTTAGGATTATGATCTTTTGGAAGACTTACAGCAGCAGTGGGATAGGGTGTTTTGAGACAAGGGAGAAAGATCAGTTAGAAGGCTACTATGAGGGGAGAAGCAAACAAGAAGAAGAAAAGGGGCAATGACGGTCATAGCAGGAATGGAGAGGCAGGAGCAGAATCAAAAGATATTCAGAAACAATTAATACGCAAGATCAAGTTTCTGATTGGGATGGCGGGAGGTTAGAATTGGATTCAGGGTGGACCCAGGGTGACAGAGTGTTGTGGTGTCAAGGAGAAGAAATAATGATGTCAGGAAGGCGAGCAATTTTATGCAGAGATAATTGATTCTGAGGCACCAGCAGGATATCCAGGTGAAGAACTATTTTGGGCACCTGGAAATGCAACACTGCAGTTTCAAACACAGACTGGAGCCAGGAATGTAAACTTGGGAGCTATCTGGTGTACGTGATAAATGATGTGTGAGAGAGGATAGGATAGCCAAGGAAAGGAAAAATGAGCCCAATAGAAAAAATCATGGGGGTATGCTTACCCTTGGCTGGGTGAGGGAAATCTTGGAAGCAGAAAGAGAAGCAGTCCTAGGGAGAGACAAAAATAATCTGGAAAACACACCTCTCAAAAAAAGGTGGGGGGACAGAGACTCAAAAAAGGAAAGTGATAAAGAGTCAAATAGGGAATTTGAGGCAGAGGAAAACTGGTAAGGGCAGGTCGTCTGTGCACAGGGAGAAAGCGTTGATGGGGATGAAGCTGTGCTGGCCAGGGTGAGCGAGGGAAGATGTGAGATAGGGCATGCAGAAGCTGAACTTCTCCATGGCATTTATGATGCTAGAGCCAGAAGTATAGAGAGCTTGGTTCCTGGTCATATTGCCATTTGGTTTAAATAAACTCAATTCTCAGTATTCTCAGTAGTCCTATAACTTTCACTGAAACAACAGGGCAAGAACTATGGGTGCACAGAGCATCTGTGACCCTGGAGTTTGGAACGTGATTCACGAACACCTCCTGTCTGGGAGCACTGGGTGTCAACATTTCCTGAGAGGAAAGAATTGAGTTTAAAATGGCCATTTTGCAAAGCAGTATGTATGCCTGAGCTCTGTGTGATAATTTACCAGATATCACCACATGATTAATTGAACAAACCTTTCTGTCAGTAATCTGAAATGGTACTTTCATCATAAACTAAACCCCCAGATGGATTTGTGGCTATGTTTGGACTCTCTGTTTCATTCCATTTTGTACCAGACCTGTGGTTATTTAATTGAGATTGCCTTGAATCTATGAATTAATTTGAGAAGAACTGGCATTTTTACAATATTCAGTCTACTAAAAAGAAGAGGACTTAAGCCTTCTTTAATAATTACTTTTTCATACAGTCCCAAGCTCGCCCTTTTCAGTTTATAGCTATATATTTCCTTTTTGAGTGGCTCCTGTAAATGCATTATTTCTTATACTGTAAGTGTGTACGCATCTGTGTGTGTAAGTAGGAGAGAGGTAGGTGTTTTCTCAGATGAACAATTAAGATTTAAAAGAAATAATCTAAAGCAAATTAAAGTTCTTAAAAACATCTGACATTCATTGAGCTGATAACACATGTAAAAAATGACTTTGGATAATATTATGATGCAAAACAGAAAAAAAATATGAATGCAGTTTATTTCCCTTTTATATGACTACTCTTCCCTTACATAAGCCGAGCTGTGATTGTTGGCAGTTAAAACGTGATGGCTGTTCAGGCCTGGTACTAGCAGCAGGAGCGCCATTTTTCTCCTCCTACCACACAGAGCTCTAGCTAGACTCTGGCTCTTGCCACAGGAAAGCAACTCTGCTCAGCCCTGCTGCTTGAATTCCCCAACCACGCCCATCAGCTCTTCCACTCGCCCTCCCAAGGTGCTGGGAGGATAGGTTGAAGGAAGCCATACAAGCTCTCCACTGCCAGTCATATTCCCCACAGACAGAGGGGTTTTCGCACAGCTGATGCAGCCACGAGTCAGGACATGCTTGTATTTTATCTCTGCCTTTATCTCAGTCCTTTGAAACATTTCAATTTGAAGAAAAACGGAAAACTATTTAATGAATCTGGACAAGGGGTCAGCAGGCTTTTACTGTCAACAGCTAGGCAGAAAACGTATCAGGCTTTGTGGGCCATATGGTTTCTGTTAAAACAACTTACCTCTGCTGTTGTGTGTGAAAGCAGTCACAGACCATAAGAAAATGAGCCTGGCTACATTCTAAGAATTGTTTCAGTTTCCAAATCCTTATTTCAGACCAGTACATTTCCAAACCATTCATTATTTATATTAAAAAAAAAATTGAAAATCTCGTGGAACCAAGTATGACAGTTTACAAAGCACTGGAAGGTATAGTATGTAGAAAAACCACCAGGAGGATTTCTTACCAATCCTTAAACAATGACTCTGAGCATAGTTGGTATTTGTCTGCTTTCTGAAGCACAAGGGGGAATCACACACACAATAAACACACATATGACACTGCAGTGTGGTCATTGCTTTGAGGAAGAAGAGGAAGTCAAATGAAAACGCTATTATTATTGGTGATGGGAGTATTTGTTCTTACTTACCAATCTTGTACTGCATTGAAGGATTCTTCATTTGTGATGTCATACATTAAAATAAAGCCCATGGCCCCACGGTAATAGGCTGTGGTGATAGTCCTGTATCTTTCCTGGCCAGCTGTGTCCTTAAAAATAACAATTTAAAAAATATTCTTATTATGTTATACAATTTTAATTATATATATTTTTATTATAAACTCTAAAAAAATAAGGCAATTCATATTTTGGGAGGTGATTAATTATTCCAGAAATAGTCATAATAGAGATTCTACATTGTACTTGCAACATATCGCTATATATCTCTTTAGTCTTGTTTTCCCTCATGATTTTCATATGGCAGCTCTGCGAGATTATGAAAGATTCTTTTTTTGGTCAAGATCTAGCTCAAAATATGTTCTACATATGTTCATTCCTGTTCGGCAGCAGATAACTGTAGCTAATAAAATAAAAAGATCATACATATGAAAATCTGTACCTTTTTGTTAAGTTTAAAACCAGAAGAGTTCATTAACTCCAGCATTATGTGTTTGTAATCTAAGTACAAGCCACTATGGGGGAAAAGAAGAATTTTATGAACAGCTTCCTGCTTTCAAAAGGATGCCGTTTAATCTTACTTTATTCAGCTGTAAAATGAGAATAAAAATACCTGCTTTGTGTGGCTATTTGAGGCAACAGACCTGGAGTTCCTGCTCTCCTGTTATATAGCCGGGGAACACGGACAAGCCCCCAAACCTCTGTAAATAAACCTCTCTAAAGTCTAGCATGTTTGCTAGGACTACGTGAAACAGTGTATTTGCAGCGCTTCACGCAGAGCCTGGCATACAAACAGTGGTTGATAAATGCTGAGTACTGGCTGCTGTTCCTAAAGGCTGGGGAGGCAAGGCTAGCATACGATGGGAGATAGCAGCTTGCAAACACAGAGGCTCAGGGCCCACCGAAGAGATGACATGCAATAGTGAAATCTGGGAATATGGCAGACATATCGTTAAAGTCACCTGCATACATGTCACATATACTGTTTAGTGTAGCTCAAGAAATTATTCCTCTGTTCACCTGACCCTTGCCCCTTTGTCTTCACTGGATCTGGGCTATGGTTTACGACACAATGCTCCTTGGATTTCCCCTTCACCACTTACCCTAGAGATCCGGCTCTGATTTCTCTTTCCTAGTACTCTAGGTGCTGAGCACTTTGGACGGAAATAATATCTTCTTTTAGACTTTATTCTGGATCCTCTTTCTGCTCTTCTCCCAGAGATACCTCCTTTGCACATGGAGTACATCCTAGCTCCCCCTAAGATTTAATAGCCCTTGGAGGGGAAGCTAATGTGTTGGATGACACAAGAGTAGGTTCCTTACCATCAAAATGAAACTAATATCTCCTGGGTCTCACTCTTGGGATGGGCTCGTGTTGGATATGCTAACGCTCACCCACAGGTGTTCTCCACCTTGGATGCTTACACTCCACCACAGACTAGCCCATGAGAAACTTGAGATTGCTCACAATTTTCTCCTAATCCATGTGGTATATTTTATGCAGCCCCCTGGGTGATCAAAGAAGGCTGAGGAAACCAGCAAATGATTCTAGAAGAACAGGGGGGCATGAAGAGAAAGTTGAGAATTAGCCGACTTTTCATGAAACCAACAATAGGACCAGGGATGAGACTGGTCTAACTATAAGAAGATATTTATGTGGTGATATTAGAGATATAAGATTCCAAAGATAGGATGGAAATCAATGATGGTACCCAAAAGAGCAAAAACAGAGCAAAATCTGTGGGAAAGATCTTTCAGAACATAAACATATCACCGTTGGCAGAAAACAAAAAGGAAAGTATAGATTTTACCACATGAAAATTTAACAATTCTTTGAATATATAAAAAAAGACATAAATAAAATTAAAATGATACATAATCAAATAAAGTCAGAAATATATTTGCATCTTACCAGAGAGACCAAAGGTTACTATCTTTAATATGTCAAGTGGTGCAAGAAATCATTAAGAAAAATGTTAAACAATCTAATTTTAAAATTATTTATATAGAGGCACATAAATAACTAATTAATCTGTAAAATGAGTTGAATCCCAAGGATAATAATGCTGCAAAGTTAAATGCCTACCTAATAGAAGTTTCCTGGATATTATTTGAATATTTTATTGTACTTTGCTTAGTATTTTATATATATGAAAATGTAGATGTTTGACCTAAACATGAATATCACAAACTGCATGTAATTAGGAAAAATAATCAAGTTTATTAGGCAGAAAGAAACCAGTCTTGAGCTTATGTGGATATTCTTACATATTCTTTGGATTTAATTCAATTAACAGCATATCTAATTGTGAAATAAAGAAGAAATTTAGAGAACCAAATTCCCAAAGACTATGTACACAAAGCATGGTATACTCAGAGATTATGTAATGTATTTCAGCTTTCTGGGGAACAAAACATCTTAAAACTAGTTATTTTATTTTAAAACATCTATTTTTGTCTTAAATGCCTATTTTCCAGAATAAATTATCCATAGAATTACCTTTTTTTTCCTTATTGTGAAATAACTTTAAATGGCTATCTTGTCCACCATACAGTAATAGCGCTGTGTGGTGACAGACGGTAGCTCCACTTGGCAGTGAGCACCGCATCGCACATAGACTTGTTCAATCACTATGTGATACACCTGAAACTAACAGTGTGCATCAACTATGCACCAATAAAACAATTTTTTTACAGTCATAAAAAATATTTAAAAGTTAAGAAAGATAAAAATCTGGAAAAGAAAAAGCTTTTTAACATTTGACTGAGTAGTCATCTCACAGGTTGAGGATCCCATTCTTGTTGCCTTCTCTATATAACAGATAGCTTTCCCCTGAATTTTCTCTAGCAAAAAACAGACAATACAGCTGAGGCACTGCTGAAATCTGACCCAGACCCTTCCTGTCAGGCATGTCCTTGACACAGACACTGAATAATGGTGTGTTGGAAAAGTGTGGCATCTCTTTCTTCTTGACCTCTTTTGGTGATGGCTTTCCTTTTCATAAGATGTTAATTTTATTTTGACAGTAAAGAAACTAGTTCTAGTATTATAAAACATTCATTCCAGTTTATGAGGGTATTTAATCTTTAAGAGAGCAGAAATCAAGGCCCCATTATATTATGACTGATATGTTACAGGAATCCGCATGGTTGGATAGCCATTATCAAAATTTAAAAGTAGATAGAGGGGGACAAAAACCGACTTTCAAGGAAAAAGAAAAAAAATAGAAGCTTTCAGAAAGCACATAAGTCACAGCAAGGATCAGAATCTTCTATGCCATTCTGATACGAACCCAGAAACAATCGAATTGGAAGTAGTTGTCAGCTAAAAGCTCTCAGGGACAATAAGAAATCATAACAAACAGGGGTAGTGTATTAGGAAAAACAGAGAGTAGTTTCCCTTCCCAAATGCAAAGACAATAAAAAAGAGTAAAACTAAGCTAATAAACCAGGCACCAAGTTGGTTTTGAGTACAGAAAACAATCTCAGAATTACAAACTCATTAGCATTTTCTCTCCTATGGTTCCAGGAAGAAAAAGAAGTCAGAAAAACACTTCATTACATTTGACATTTACTAATGATGATAGAAGGTTCTATCTGAAAGAAAGGAACATTTTATAATGTCAAGTGCCACTAATGTAATTAAATGTGAACAGTCTCAGAAGGTAACTGGCTAAAATGGTACCTCTTCTCAATTTGCTCAGAAGAATGGCTCCAAAGCTTGGTTTTGCACGGTTCCTCTATTCAGTTAATTCTGATAACTGGGGATACCTGCTGATTTTCTATAAATGTAGGCTTCCTAGAATTGAAAAACACAACTGGAAATCTCTTACAGAGAAAATGAGGGATGAAAATATGATTAAAGATGAAAACTTTCTTCCATGAAAGTTAGCTGTCATTTTCTTCTAAACAAAACAAAACAAAAAAACCATTTTAGTTAGTTTACTTTGATTTCACAGTCATGTTTTGTTTTCTTTTGTTGTATTTTTGAGAGAGTGCCTACGTGAATGGTGGAGATGTGAGGGAGAGGGAGAGAGAATCCTAAAGCAGACTCTTGGCTGAATGTGGAGCCCACATGGGGTTGAGACCCGGAGATCATGACCTGAGCTGAAATCAAGAGTGGGGCACTTAACCAACTGAGCCTCCCACGTGCCCCATTTCTATTCATGTTTTTAAGAGGAAGTTTTGGCTTTAATGATAGGTTTGATGAGCAAATACTTGAGAATACGTCAAGAAAAGAACTATAAAATGTAAAATATTAGCAGCTTGATAAGTAGTCATGAGAAATGTTTTCAGTTTGAATTTTGAGATTTTTGTCTTTGTTTTTGCCTTAATTTTTTTCTGATAAAATACTCTATATTTTTTAACTGTATGTATGGCATTCCCAAAGTCTTCTGAAGTTATGCAGAGATAACCTGCAGTTTTAAGATAGGGGGACTAACCTTGGTTTGAGTTACATTGTAATAGATTTTTGTTTTGGTGGTGACTTCCCTCTGTATAGATTAAAAGGAAGATGAAAGTAAACATTAGTAAAGTAATATCATGCAAATAATATCACTACAATCAAAATACATTTACTGAATGTCTAGATAGGGAAAAATAGATCGAAGGATAGATAATCCTAATACATGATAAAGTAGGTAATTTTATATGTGAGGAAACTAAACTGAACACATTGATGTTAACTCATCAACAAAAGTAATTTAACTAAGGGAGATAATATGTGATAACCCAAAAATATTGTCAACAGAAATGCTAAGTGAGGATCCTGCAACATAAGACATAAAACACAGGTTACTGAATTTCCGGATAGATCAAAGGTATGAAATAGAATAAACGCTCAGCCATTTAGTATCTATACACGTAGTAATTGTTTGTACTTTGCTACCAGTTAATTGTAGGAATTATTTTGAATAATCAAATGAAGATTAAACTCTGCTTAATATTTTAATGACTGCTGATCGACTGATTCATTGATTCATTTGTTCATTCATTCAGTAAACATTTGGTGAGTATCTATTGCCAATTAGGGACTGCGATCAGTTTAGATTAAACTTATACTCTATCTATTGGAGACATATTTTTGCATATT